GGCAATGGCAGTGGATGGGGAGTACTTGCTGCAGTCAGTTGATTGGCCTGCCCTGGCACAAGAAGTAAATGACATGAAGACCTGCACTGCAGTTTTAGGATGGGAACTTCTGTTATCTATCTCTGGCAAATAGACTTTTACACCTAATTATCACAGAGTGTGTTACCTACTTGAGTGTTCCTTGCTGTCTGGTTATTGCTTGTGCTCAGTATCTCCCTCATTAATTTTATCCTTCTTCTGTCCTGTGCCTCCCTAATCAGAGATAAGTAACATTCATCAGTAATCCTTTTCCTTCTCAGAACTCTCCCAGGTAAAGCTGTATGGGTATTTGAGAACAGGAAGAGTTTGCATTTCAAAAACAAGGACTGTCTTTTCTAGACCCTCATGCAGAAGAAGTTAAAGCTAGGAAAATGGCATGATTAGTCCATCTGTGACCTATCCATTTCCTCATTCCCATTTACATCTTTGTCAAGACAATAAATAAACCAACATTTCCACAAATACTATCCCTCTTCTAGAGATTTTCTGTTGCAGTTGATACTATGCAATCTTAACCACCTCTCCCTAAATTACATTGCCTTCATTTGAGGCATTCCCACACAACAGAGTGCAGCTGTGATGGGATGTGCTTTAGGTCAGAGTACTGAGGTGAATGAAAAGGTGTGATGATGACATTGCACTTACTCTTTCTGCTGGCCACTTCTGAATAGTGCACTCATATTATTTGTCAGCTTGAAGAAAGTAAGTGGGTTTTATGAATGCCTACCATGCACATAAACAGACCCCGTGAGATTTGGCAGGCAGGAACAAGTGATGACAGGTTGTTATCAAATTATTCCTTTATATTTTATACCAACAAGGATCATACAGATTTGTTGGAAGACAGATACAGGAAATACAAAAAATATTCTAGACAACATCTTCATCAACAGTACCCAAATTTACTAATCCTGATGCCCAATCATAACCCCTGGTAATTTGCTCTTATTATTTGTCCTCTCTCAATTTAGTGGTAATGAAAACAAAGCAGCCTTGGCCATCCATTTATGAGGAAGGAAATAGAACAGCATATCTCAATAAAGCAATGGGCTCTGCTGTTGTTTTTGTGTATGATAAAACTGGACATCCCAGACATTCCCAGTCAAGGAAACCCAGCTCTAGATGAAGCCAAAAGAAGACATGGGCAATGAGATAAAGGTTTTCAAGACCACACGTACATACAGCTTGATGGCTGAAGGAAACCCTAAACCAGCTCAGTATATTTTGATTTTCAATCAGACCTTTCAGACCTGACCTTTCTGTCTGAAGTAGGCCCCCAAAGTATGTTTGGAAAATTGTCTGGAATACACTGAGAACATCCTGTGTTTCTGAGCAGGTTTGTTCTGGTTAAGACTCTTCCCAGTTTTCATACACAGTGTAAGATATTTGAGTCTGAGGGTTTTTCACTTGGAATAGAATCTGCACGAAAGAATGATATTTGGAACATAAGAAGCTTATCAGGAAATAACAACTTGAATTGCAAATGCTTCCCCAGAAGGTGATTTGCCAGAGGTGTTTTCTACCATCCTCTCAAAACTGTAGGTTTTTGCCCTTCTATCATGTGATGCTCTAAGAAATGAGGCTACACACATTCATTTAATAATATAGTTCCCTTGTGATACGTTCACTTTCCTTAATGAGGGCAGTGTTGCAAACTTGTTAGAGCCTGAGGACTGTATCAAATTAACATAGCATGGAGGAAAAATTAGCAGAGAGAGGAACTCCTTGTGTGAAATTGAATGAGATCACTGATGGTCCTTTTGTCAATCTTTATTTTTGTACTACAGACAAAATGTTAACAAGGATAATATAGAACACTATTACTCATAACTGGGATATCCTTGTTTTTTTAACAATAACCTGAATGACCAAAAGTAATTAAACCAGCACAGTACCGATTATATAATAAATCAGGCACAACACAGGTGTTTAACTGTGAGAAAGAAAGGGAAGGAGGAGCATGGATCTTGGTAAAGTCACTGGGGAGAAATGACAATGAATTGACAAATTTTCTAGTTTTTCATGACAACTTCTTGTTTCACGTGTGTTTACATGAGTGAATCTAAAGTCCCACTATAGTCTCAATAGAATAATGCTGTGCTTCTGCTAATATACAAGAAACCAGAATGCAGCTCTTTCCATATTTCATCATAAAGCAAAACTCTCAAGGGCCAGAGAAGGCAACAAAGGAACGCAGGAGAGAGAAAGCCAGGATTTGTGAAGGAAGGGGAGTTTCATCAGAGACATTCACACTACATTTTTCTTTAAAATTTTCAATTGAAAAACATGGTTGCTAAAATGCACCATCTCTGCAGTGATTTTTGTCAGCCATACGTGTCACTCTTGTACAAGCTCAACAGATAGAGAAGTCAGCAAATTGGGAGGTTATGTGAAATATAGAGCCTGTGTAAGATTTTTAAAGCTCTGTTTGCTGCAGCTTTGGCCTTTTAGTGATTATGCCTTGCTTGTGCAATGATAGCTCCTAAGAGGGGCTGTGAACACTCCTGCAGGACATCTGTTCTGCGGTGGCACTGGGGACAAGGTGCTGCTTCCACACAACACAATTAATTTGTGGTTTCCCTGTGCAAAGGGGATGAACCATTTCCAACAGATCCAAGGAGATGTACACCCAGGCATAATCAGCAGACATTCTTTTAGGTAATGATTATTGCCTTTTTTTTTTTTTCTGACAAAGGCTTCCCTTCTGCTTCTATAATTCTTGAATGCTGGTGCTGCTGAAGGTAAAATCCCCCTCATATCCTCTTGCCTCAGTGCATGCTCAAGGGTTATCTTCCCGTGCCTAATGGATGTTACTACAAGAAGAGCTAGAGAGTGACTGAGCCATTCCACAAAAGCCTGCCAATTAACTTTAGGACACACCTGGTTGTATCTTCTAGTGATAAATATTTCTATCAAAAGACACCCACAATCAGCAAAACTATCTCACTTCCTCTCTGGCACTAGGCATAGAAGCTGTGCAATGTCTCTGAATCCAGAAAAGAAGCCCTGATTGGTGGCATTGTTTACCAGTGTGGTTGTGAGTTAGGTTTGGAAAGCATTTGGTGGCAACCCAGGCTTGGGTTGGCTGTGGCAAGGCCAGCACGTGGGCATTGTTTCCCAGAGGGCACTGCCATCTGCTGCTGGTGGCACCGGGGAGCTTCACTGCAGCTCACCAGCAAATGGCTACGGAACACCTGTGGTCAAACCTCACTTGCTTAAAGATAGCTCACAGTCATGGGCCAGATGGACTTGTTTGGTTTCTTACAGTTCCAAAGACAGAACATACAAATACAAATATAAAGACAAGTCACATCCTAAACTAAACAGAAGTTTGGGAAATGCAGCTTCTGTGGAGAGAGGTGCTAATTAGTGACACCTGCTCCAGCATCCAGCAACAGACGGGTCTTACTGTGAATGAGTGGTGGGTGTGGAAGGACAATGCTCTGGGGAACCTGCAGGAGTTAGGCAGATTTAGTTACACCAATTGGTAATAATCTGTGGATGATGAACACAGGAGCTGACTTGTCAAGTAATAATGCACACAAAATGACAATAGGATGTGCTTTTGGAAAAAATGACTGAAAAGTTGTATTTTTTTTTTTGTACCATGGTGAAGTGATACACATTCTTCTCTTGGCAACATTGGAAGAGAATTGGACAGCATTCTCTTCCACAAAGCTGGAAATATTTTGTTGAAAAATCTCTGGTTAGCACACTTTCAATTTTCAAGCACAATCTTGACATTTTCTAAGAAAATCAGACATTTGTGGGGTTTTTTTCTTTCCTATTCCCTGGATTCTTCATTTTCTATCACTACAAAACCCCCCATCTGTTATCTGTAGTAGCCAGGCCTGGTGGACATATTTCTAGAATGTGGGACTCCTGGATTCAAAAGTAGAGTACAGGTTAAAATAGGCCTTCCCTATTTCAGTGAATGCCCTGCACCCTCTGGCGTTGGCTGTAAGGCTGTAACAACACAGGAACTCTTACCTTGGCATTCCCTTTTGACTGGCTCAATTGGAGAGTCCCTACTCAATGGGCTGAGATATTTCCTTTCCTCTGGCACTCCACTGAGCTTCCAGTTTTGCATGAGGATCCCAGGCAAATCCCTGAAGGTTGCAAGCTCTCCCAAATGATGGAGAGCTGACAATGGGACCCCCTTCTGTACAGTCAGCTCCAAAGGATTAAGGTAGTTGGTAAGAAAGAAACCTCTTTGTAAATAGACTTCCTTTATGTAAAATCTTTAATAAAATCCCTTAGGAGTCTAAATTAAAGAAGATAATTTTCACCACCAGTCAATTTTGGAAATTGAAAATGCAAACAAATAATTCTCTGGTCTGCTCTGTAGGAATAGCAGCCCATCCTTATCTTTCTTTTCTCTTTTACTTTCAAATTTTTGGAGGATCTGGGCACTTTATATTTTCAGTAATCTGACTACATCTAAGTGACAGGGCCACACCTCTTCTCTGTCGCTACATGCTTGCACCAATTCAACTCTTCAACTTGCTTCAGGCTGTTGTAGGTAGTTTCCTGGTCATGACATTTCACCAGCTTTTGAGGCCCTGTATTTTCTAGCGAATCCCAATGTGGCAGATTAGGGAAGAAAAGTGAAGGACAAGAAAGCCATCCAATTTTTTGTAGTGGGATTTGAGGACTTTTAAGTGTCACAGGTATCCTGTTGAGGCCAGCAACACACAGAATTTGGTGGGTTCAGGCAGTGAAGAAAATTGTGACAGATCAGGACTGTGGCTGACAGAAGGGCTACACAGGCCCAGGTGAGCCCCTAAAAACTCCAAAGAGCCAGGGAGTGATAGAACTCTGTCCCTATGGGTAGTTGTCATGAGTTGATGTTTTAAGGTCACTTAAAGACTAAGCAGAACCAGCAAGTGAAGCTTGGGAAATTGCCGCAGCTCTTTATCTTTTCCTTCTTCCCAAAAACATAGCTATCAAACCACAAATGCTTTTATTTTATGGAATGAACCTTTATTGAAATACTTGACATTAAATTTCTTTGCTGATGTAACTTTTTATTTTTGAGGGGGCATTATATTTTCATGTGAGTCTCTTGCTGCGTTCTCTAAGCTGTTTTTAAGAAACAAGCCATGTAAGTACAATACTCAGACAAAGGCTCAGGCCCAAGCTGCTGGAGGTCAGCACCACATGTCCATTTGGGAAGTACTTCTTATCAACATAGTCTATGATTGTTGTTACAGCCAGCATAGTCTCCTCACACGTGGGCTGGATTTGGTTAGCGGGGAGAACAAATCCATGAGTGCCCGTGTCTCGCAGTTCAAATGTGTAGGAGAGTGGAATGCCAATTGTGTGGGCCCAGTCCCGTGAGGAGCCTGAGTTACTGTCTGTGAATTTAAAAATAGAGAGGAGATATTTGTATTAAGCATGGTTCTTTAAAAATACTTCTTGTTAGAGTTAATACAAGCTTATACCAGAATCCCTGAACTAAGCAGTAACCATATATCACTGTGACACAGAGAAGAGTTTCTAGGTGCTGTAATTCTTAGCTATACTAAAAGTATATGGAGTTTCCTAAGTGACACAGTTCTTCATAAGATGTTACTGTACAATAACAAGAGATGTGTTTCAGGGATTCTGTGTTTTTAGCATTTTACTGTGACTAGTGTGGGGTACAAGATGGATTGGACATTTACATGTTCTTGTACTTTATTTCCTACATGGATACTGACTAGAATTTATATATATATATATATTAAAAAGCATAATTTTGGTCACATCTGAAAACATTTCTGGCTTCTCCCTGTATCTCTGTTCATCTTCCTTGTGGATTGTTTTCTTACCTATTCAGAGTAAGTACAAACCCTGGCAAAATGCAGCCCTAGGCAAGTTGCATTACACTTATACTGTATTGCTCATGCAGTCTGTGCCTCTGGGACTGGCACTTGGGGACTGGCAGAGACAGCCACTGGAATATGCAAACCACATGGGTTCTGGAGCCAACTACTTACTGTTCTCACTGACTAGCGTGACTTATTGCTTACTGGGAAAATATTGGGTTTACTAGGCAGTCTCTAGGGTCCTCAATCCTCTTTGTAAAGGCTGTCAACTCATATTAGCTATGATATGTTCATGATGTGGCCATCCAGTCTATTAGGAACAGGCCTGAAACCAATATATTTCACACAGAATTGCAAGCAGCTGCCATGTGATAATGTCTGATGAAGTAACTGTAGACCTGATTGGGATTTTAATTTTTGCTTCATTCCTGTGAAGACAAATAGGAGTTTTGCTGCTGACTTCAGCAGGGCCAGGATGATTTATCACCAATCTCCTTCTGTCCCCTGTGATGGATCTGTGAGGAATCCATGTAGGAACCAACTTCTGATCAATGCTTCATCCATTCCTGCAGTCAGCTTTATAACTTACAGAGTTATCTTGTATTCAAATGGCTGCTGCTGACGTGTTGCACCAAACCGGCCCTTTAAATATTACTCACAGTAGAAACTCAGCAAAACAGTACTTGCTGATGCATGTGACACAATTATTTGAAACACAGAGCAGTCAAAGGGAAACATAAAAAAACTTACATAAAATTAAAGCAGTTGATCCTACTCTGTAGCTGGTCCCATACTTTCCTGTCAATGCAGCAGCTGCTTCCTTTGCAACTTGCATCTGGAAATTCAAAATAGGAACAGCCTTGGCATCAGTAGAAGTACTTTTGATAATTATTTTGAGTGGACCAAAATTTTTGTCTCTTTCAGCTTTACATTTACATATTATCAGCTTTAAGATCTTTAAGGAATCCATTAGAAACATTTGAACAAAATGTTCTTGATACTTTTTAATGCATATTGAGTTTAAATTTTAAAGATTTGAGTTTAAATTTTAAAGATTACTCTGGTACTAGGTAGAGATCCTATTTGCTTTACTGTAACTAGAGCCTGTATTTTGGAGAATTTAGAGTCTATGCTATATAACACACTGGTACTGACTACAGCAGTGATTGACCTCTTACTTGTTTTATTGCCATAGACTCTTTATCCCACCATCCTTAGAAACTGATCCATAGACAAAATAAATGACTTCTCCAATGACTCATATGAAGTCCAAACCCAAATCCCTCATGCTCTTGACTAGTGTTTCATCTACTGGACTCTTCATAAATACGCACAAAAGTGAACTTAAAACACTCAGAAACTGAGGAAAGAAGTAACCAAGATATAGTTACTTTACTCCCATTTTTCTAAGCATGTTTGCAATACCATTTCAGGATACAATAATGATAACTATATGTGTATAATGTGCTGGCATCCTAAAGTGTAAATTCATTCTTGTATGCAGTGAAAGTTGGTGCTCTTCTCCACTTACCTTGCTTTGCATTAACCCTATCTGTAGTAGTTCAGTTTTCCTGATTTAAGATGAAGAATTAGGATTTCTGAGGCAAATAAACCCTACTGATGCTGAACAGAGAAGCAGTAACTCTGTTCAAGCCAAGTCCCTGAACAAACCCAGCTCCTCTGAAGTAAAGGCAAAAGTGCAAGTTGCACCATGTGCTACTGCCTGTACTTTCTCTCTACAAAGGTAGAAGATAAATGTTTTGCCCTACCAGTTCTTCATTGTTACTTGGAGGTTTAGTTGTGAAACCATATGGGGTGAGGATGAGCTGTCCATAGGAATGAATTGTTAAATAGCACAAAACGTCACTCTTCTTGCTTTGGATAAACTGAGCCACAGCTCTTGTCTCAGGCTCTGATTCTGGTCCAGATCCACAGAAGACATCACTGCTGCAGTTAAAGGATACACCAACACCTGGGGAGGAATACAAACACTGAATCAATGGAGAAATGTAGAACACCAGTTCTGAGGGAGCTGGGAAATTTACCTTGGAGTATTAAGGCATGTGTTTATGTGGGCAGGGGACTAGACAGCTCAGTGGGACTTTAGCATTACACTCAGTAGGTAGCAACTAAAATTTGCTGTGAGACTGAAATATTTATTGGACATTTACAGGATGGCTGCAATGAAAACACTCTGACACCACCACAGTGTACCACACACCAGGGAAGCTTTGGAGGCTCCTTGAAATTCATGGCAAATGTAAATACTGGCTGTTAAGTGACTAACTCTTAGCATTCCTGCCTAGAGCTGATGCTTGCTCCTGCAGCGAGTTAGAGGCATAGTTGCATAAGAGAAATTTTCTGCTCACAAAAATAAATGCTGGTTGAAAGTTAGCGAGTTAATATTTTGACAAACCAGGATTTTATTTTTACATATGCCTTGATGACAACAAGGTGAATATTCCTTTCTTATAGGACTACATTTTATTTCAGAGACTTGTTATTACTCTTGCTTGACTTTTGTGTTCATGATCTGAAATACTTCAAACTTACTGCCCCAGGATGAATTGAAGTTTCGGTTCAGATCTGTGCCATAGCAGGTGCCATTCTCAAATGGAGAACGGCTTTTCCTCCACAAACGATCCTGAAGAAAAGTAACTTCTGTTACATAATAAAAACTCAGTGATCCATATGGGACCAGTGATTATATGGTGTAAACACCCTTTTTTTTTTTTGACCTCTGCATTCTAACTAACCCTGGTATTGTAAGAGCACAACTCCATGTGCAAGGGTAATAAAGCTCAGTGACAGAACAATTCATCTACTACTAGCCAGGCTGTCATCAGCCACACACCTGTGAGCAAACTGAAATAAGCCTCCTGACCCTTTTTTTTCCCCGAGTATGCTTTTTCTGTAGTACTCAACTGCTTCTGTGCAGTATGGTACTCCTAAGCAAGACTTGGCATTGTGAGGGAAAAGAGACAATAGTATGTTTCAGATTCATGAAGATTAATTATTTTTTGTCAGCTAATCTTGCTACTGCTCCCTGGTTCCCTGCTATAGTCATGGCTATACAGGTTCTGTGCAGACATCACTGCACTGCCTGTATGATCTTCCCAGCTGAATTACCTCTGCATCCAAGTACAGTGTTTGGTATGACCCACAACTGCCCTGCCAGGGAGCAAGCTGGGAGACAGCCTGATCCACATGGTGGTAGCCACAGGCCATCTAAAGGTCCTGCATTAAAAGGTGCTTCAACTGGGCACAGGGGCTTAAAAGCATGGTGAGAATGGCTGAAGATCAACATTTTGCATTATTCTCCATGTCAGAAAAGGAAGATTATTTGTGAGGGCACACCTCTTTCATAACCAAAAATTATTTGTGAGGGCACACCTCTTCCTGTGCTGTGCAAAGTTTCTAAGACTCATCTGCTACTTGACATCTTTTATAAAGAACAAATAACTCTTCCAGACATACTTAAGTCCATCAGCCAGGCCTTGAGCCATTATTAAAGAAGAAATCCCATCCCAGAAACCCAAAACCAATTGATCTTATGGTTTTGTCTTCCCAAGTCTCATGACAATTGCTAGTAATATTTAGCTCTGCAATCTCAAGTGATCACTGATTTGCCAGAAGAAACAAAATCTCTCTGCCATGAGAGGATTTATGTGAGTATCACTTTCTGTTTAAGTATAATTTCTATGACCCTGTCTACAAGTATCAAAACATGCTGGGCACATCTAACTTTCAGTCTAGTTCTTGGATTTTCACTACTTACTTCTTCCCAGGAATAGATGTAGCCATCAATATTAAGGACTGGCAAGACATAAAGGTCCAAATTCTGCAGAAATCTGCTTATCTTTGGGTCAGTTTTGTAATTTTGAAGAATCTGAAAAGAAAAAATACAGAGCACTGAGCAGAGAATTTAGTGTTAATCACTGCAAAGAGCAAGTTTAGAACTATCATCAGGTGATTACTCACTCTCGGATATCACCATGGTACCCAACATCTACTTGATCCCCAGCATGCCAGGTACTTTTTCTATACACATGGAACATTGCTATATCATAGATTAGGGTTTCTTTATTTCAGGAGGACTGTGACCTTTTGATAGAGAGAGGCTTGATCCAACAGCCACTGTGAGAAAAGGAGAGGTTGATACCAAGTGTTGGAAGGCTTTGGAAATATTCAGGCAGAGGAACTGACACACTAAATAATATCATCCCATATCTCAAGCCATGATTTGGACTTTGGTCTCCACAGATATCTGTGCTATACACTAATTTTGCAAATAATATTTTAACAGAAAAGCATAATACTTGGTACCACAATAGGAAAGATAACTGAAGCATCCAAAGTGATATGGTTTACTTATTATCTAAATGGAAGAGTAAGGACTCACTTCTTTCACAAACCACTGACAGAAGGCTGGAGAGATCCATTCTCTGGCATGAATCCCACAATCCATCCAAATTATCTTTTTGGTTTTATTTGATGGTTGGCTGATCTAAGAGAATGTAAATGTGATAATTTAAAAACTGTTATATTACAATAAAATAGCTTAATGCAATACAAGAAAGTAAAGGATGTGCCATGATATGCTGTTGAGCCATCTGAGATTATTATTATTATTATTATTACAGACATCTTTAGGACAAGCTCTTTTTCCCTATAAGCCCATCTTTATAGCATTACCAGGCATGAGTTTTAAAGTGTCTATTAAGCAGAAGTGTCAATAGAACAGTTAATAGAACAGTTTCTTTTTTACCTTTTTCATTTGTATTCATCATTCACGGGAGTGGTTGCTCTTAGTTGAAGATTTTTTAATTTTTTGTTTTTAGAAGAGGAGTGATAGGAACAGATTAGGCAATAACTAACCCAAATATTAAGACTATGGTTTTTGCTAGTGTGTCCAATAAAAAAGTCATGGAATACTGCTAGCAAAAAAGGCTATCTGCTGTAAAAAGCAATAAAAATAACAAATTAAAAGTCTTTATCCTCACGCACAGCTGTTGCCAAGCTAGTCTCAGCTTGATTTGTATTTCTAAACAAGGCTCCAGTTAAATTTGTTGTTTTCAGTACATAATAGCAATAGCAAGCTCATAATGATAGTGTCTGTGAAAGTTGGCAAATCTTACCATAATGCAGAGGAGTAAAACCATCTCCTGTTATTTTAGTGAATTGGGATGAACTCTATCTTAGGAAACATCTGAATCCTGTCTTCTCCTGAGTACTTTTCTCTTTTTTTTGTTAAGATATGTTTTACTATTAAGGTAAATTTCCTCCCTTACCTGTAGGTAATACATTGTTCGATTCTCAAATGTCTTCCCCAGGATGTGCTGAGTCACCAGTTCACTGTTGTTCTTCTGGATCTGAGTCATCCATTGATAAATCTGAAATAGTTGCAAAGAATTCTTGTCCAAAGTGGGAGTTTCCTTCTCTTTCCCACTTCTATTGCCAGATGAAAGTATTTTCTTTTGTTTAGAAAAGCAACAATTTCCTCAGAGTTTATTTCAGTCTGTGATGTTCCTTACAAGCATGAAAAGTGTTTCACATGCTTCTGTGCAAAGGCATGGTTGTATCTCACTGGGTGTTAAAAGAAAACATTGCTGCAATGTGACATGGATACTGCATTCAGGATCTCATTCAGCCCATCCTATTGGGCATCTTCCTGTTGAGCTCACCAGACATAAAGCCACACTGTCAACTCTTCAAAACAGTATTACAGCCTCTTCCCTGTCAGCACTGATTTTCCACATCTGAGTCAGCAGCAGTCATCCTCAATGGGTAGCTCAAGCACAACCTACGTTGAGAGTTGACTTTGTTCTCTCATTTTTATTATGCAGCTAGGAGAAAGAATTGCCACCATACCTTGCTTTTGTCCAGGTTTGCTAACTGATGTTTGAAATATGGCACCAAGAAGTCATCAATGCCCACCCCTAAGACATTGTTTTCCCTTAAAGTGTCAAAACCCTGCCCTTAAATTACTTCTTTCTACAGATCTCCCACTGTTCACCTCTTCTTCCCCACGGGGATTCCAGACACCACAATAGTAATTGCACTTCACAATTGGCTCAGCACCAAACAAACTGGGACTTAAATTAATAAATACTAGAGATAAAGAATGACAGGATAGAAAGGTAGCAAACCAGCCAAATGAACCAGAATATTATCTGCAAAACAGTGCAGCTGCTTTGCACAGAGCATTTATATTATTTTCAGTGAAGAATTGCAGATTTAATCAAAATCAATGGCAAATCCATATTTAATTCAACAAGGCTAGGATTCTAGACAAAGAGTACAGACTGATTCTTTAAAGAAGAAAGTCAGAATGAGGTCCACTGACTTCATCTGAGATTTCTGCAAACACAGAGCTGCCTGCTGTGGCATTTACAGAAGAGAAAACAACAAAGTACATAAGCAGACTTAGTTTCTTCTTTACCTCTTCCATTGGATGGTATTCGGTGTAGACATAACCTCCTGAGACCTGTCTGTGGCTTCTCCTCTCCCTTGGCATGCTCTGATCCACAAGTTTCTGCACATCAGGTATTAGGACTCTGAAGGATGGGGAAAGGGGAGATAGAAAACAATCCCAAACAGTTGCTGCAGAGCTCTTAATGGTGGGCTCATTGTTTACATCAGCAAACAAAAAGATTTAACCTCCTCTGTTGCAATTTGCCTGGCAAGATCATCACCATCAGCATTACAGTTACTTTCATGTAAAGCAAAGTTCAAAGTACTGTTCAAAGTACACAGGGTTTTAACAATAATAATTTTTACCAATTTTTTTAAGTTGTCAATTTTATACCAAGGAAAAAAGTTTAAGATTTTATTTTCTTCACTGTTTTTGAGCAAAATCCAAAAATACCACCTTTGGGAAAAAGAAGTGAAAGAGAAAAATTTAAGATTAGGTTTTATTGTATTTTATTGAGACATTTTGAATTTGCAAAGATTTCACAGAAATATTCATTGCAATTTGCAAAAATCAGAATAAACCCTTTATTTACTTCAAATATCTCTTTTTGCTTTCTAGCTACAAAAATAGCTCAGAAACTAGTATAACACAGGCATGATTCCATGACCCAGGGAGTCAATAAAACCTTTTCCTTGGCTTTAGTGGACTTTGGATGAGAGGCTGTTCTTTCTCACTGCAATCAGCCCCTTGTAACGGCTGCAAATCTGTGCTCATTGTAAACGTTTGCGATAAGACAATTGCAAAGGTAGCTCCAACACTGTTAATCTCAAATGCTGGAAGTGCTAACAGGCTTTTCTGCTGACAGTGGCACTTATAAGCATTTCTGGAAACTGCATGTAAGAAACTTATAATAATAGTTACAGCTGACTTTCAGTCTGAGCTTTGATGTTTATTCACATCTAAACTTCAAACTAAAATTCAGGCAGTGAAAATTTCCATGAAGTGAAACCACACACACAAAATACCTTATCAGTGCTCTGGAGAATCGAAACCACAGAGTCTGACACAGTTGGAATATTGATGTCCTTATTATAGCTTGTCATTTATGTCTCTATCATTATATACCTGACTGTCATGTTACCTTCCCTGCATGCCAACTGCCTTCTAAAGGGTGGTTCCTGCTTTGAATCTGTTATAGGAACTTTGACTCTATTATTGTTGTACTCATCTCAGCCTTTTTGCAATACATACCCAAAATTTTCATCATGACTAATAATGACTCCTCTCTTTCTTTAGAACCCTATATAAAGTAGATACAGTTCTGGCCAAGGGAAAACAAAGTTGAGATGCTAATTTCAGTTTAGTATTAAACTAGAATCAGTTGAAACCATTAGAAAATGAAGAGTCTTGACACAAAATAGTGGTTAAATATCTTCTGGAATGTTGTCTAAGTACTGAACATCTAAACCTCATGTGAGATAATTTGTACTGGCTCCGACCTCGTATCTCTTCATCTCTGGTTGTCAGGGCATCACACTCACTAAAGGAGCTTGTCAGGCAAGGTGCAGAATGTCAAGATCAGCTTTAACTCAAAACAGCTTTGAAGTGACACCAATCCTCCTTAAACTCATCTTTGATTGATAAATGTCAGTGTATGTCCATAGGCCATTTATCATCAGCCCTGAATGACTACAAGGTTATTTATATTAAATACAACTAAATTAAATTAGCTACTGGTTACCTGAAAAAGTCAGTTCCAAATGGGAACAAGACTGTGTGAGGAATAGATCTTATTTAATCCCATTTTCCTTTATAAACACTCTTTGTATCTGGATTAGATCTTCTGGTTGTAAGTAAGGGAAAACATGGCTGCATAGGTGAGATAAAACATTGTGGGACATTTGCAGGTTGTGGCTCCCAGTTGTGTGCACAGTGTCCACCTGCCACTGGGATCTTTGTCCCAAGTTGGGATGTTTCTCTTTGGCTGGATGGTGCCAGGAAATTCTCATCAGCCTGCTGAAGGGGATAGGGGTAGAAAAATGAAGCTTTTGAAGGAAATGGCTGGATATTCACTTTGAAAGACCTCTTCTCCAAACCAGAGGAGTAACAAGAGACAGGAAAGGGAAAAGGAGAGCTGTTTCCCTCCAGTGACACCAATTAAACCTTTGGGCTCTCCAGAAGTAGAAGGACCCTCCATTCAGATATCCATGCTTTCCAAGGGCAAAGTGTGCTCTTATAAGTAGTGGTTACACCAAGTTTGGCCTCTTGAGCTCAGACTAAAAAATTGAGTCATATATCCAAGTGCCACCCTCTCAGTGACTGCTGAGAAGGCCACAGCAGGAAACAAGACAGACTGGGCTCCATAAGCACAGTCCAGGCTAGGTGGAAGGTAAATACAGAGGGCAGAGGGGCTTTTAAAGGTTCATACAGCATCTCTGTGTTTGGCTGGTCAAGGTAAGTTGGAGGCATTTGGAACAAAGGTTGGGTCCTATTGCCAGTACTAGCTGACTGTTTATCAGATAGGGTTTGGTCCTTTTCTGATAGCAAGGAAGATTATCACAGCCAGCCTTCCCCATCAAGGTATTAGATTGTACCTGTAAGAGATCATGTGCTGATCTAAGCTGTCTTTCACCTCCTGCACCAAAGAGGCTGGAACCCTTATGTGCAGGTCTTCACCAGCCCTGATGTCTTCAGGCAGCAGGGGTTTCCACAAATCCAGCTATGCAGAGAAGAAAGAAATGCACAAATGAACTTCTGCTTTCAGAATGAGAACTATAGTAGAGTAGTTGCATATCAACAAATGAAAGAAGTTTTCCTTCAAATTGTCCTGGTAATGCTCCAGTCATCTGTTCATGGAGCACACAGCACAAACTATTTTCACAGAGCCATGCAAAGAAACTAACATCTTCACATAAATTCCTTCAGAAGGGCAATTCCACACTACTAAAACAACAACAACAAAAAAAGTTTACTTTAACCTTCATTCCTATCATAAGCTACATGCATATCTGTTTTACAGCCCAAGATCCCACTCTTCTTGTTTGGTACATGTGGTTATTTTTACTTACCATGAAAGTACTGCAAAGAAGTTGAAGATGCTGGACTTGCTGAAATGTTTCTGGCACAATATGCAAAACCTGATCCCTGGAAATTCAGTAGAGAAACAAGATCAGTTTTAAGATCTGTTAAAGTGTCCATGATTTCAGAAGTCAAAAGGACTTATTTTGTTATGTAGAAGGAAGACAGAGCATGTAAGAGCACTGTTCCAACAAAAACACCTCTGAATTATGAATTTGTGGAATGTTTCGGCTGCAAACAGGACTAAGTGTTGTGACTTTTCTGTTGCTAGAGCATTAGCCACTCTGCTTCCTTGCCAGTAGCAGTGCTTTATTCACCATACCAGCTTCACAGAAGCCAACTGCTTGCATGAGACCTGATGTGTATTCCTGCCATTGCAGGACCAGGGCCAGAATGAGGGCATTGGTAATACATGATAAACTGTTTATTTGATAAGTTGTCAGTTTTCCCCCCTGATATTTAGGATTTATTCAATTATTCCAGATTAACTTCGTGTTTGTCTGGTCTATTTCAGCATGCAGAAACTTTTGGTAGTCATGATAAATGAACATTACTAAGAACTTGAGATGCCCACAAACTGCTTTTCATGAGAATAGCCAGTTTATTCCAAATTAGCAACTATTATGGTCTCCAGAACTGCATATTCTTACTCAATTCACAAGAAATAAAACATTTCTAGTACAGAATTTCTATTTTATATTTCTATAAATGACCCACAGAATCCACTGCCTTAGTATGTTTTCATGAGATCCCATGAAACTTTCATCTACTACAGGCTTAATCTGATGAAAATATTTAAAGTTTGCAAAGAACAAAGTAAAATGGGTGGAAATGCAGAAAAAGAAAATCAGCATGTTCTGTTAAAAATACCCTTTTACATTTTTTTGTATTTTTTTTTCAGTGTCCATTCAGTTTAGCTTTCCAGGATTGACAGTAAGTGTGATGTTTCTGGTGAAAGGGTTTCAGAGTGAGGAGTGGATGTTGATGACTACACTGCATTACTCAAAGGTGGGAGACCAATTATCCACTACTGATGAGAACAGAATAGAATGGGCAACACTAGAATCTTTCCTATTTGCTCACAGCCAAAAACTGCTTCACAGTCTCTTTTAGTGATTTCAATGGAATCTTTAGCAGATAAGTATAAAAAATTAACATTTTACATTTTAAAGCTTTTGTAACAGAAATTCTTGTAGCAAAAGCATGCCTTGGTCATTATAGTCATCAACATAATATGTTCTCATCATCTGAACTGCAACTGCCATCTTTTGTGCTTCCATGCAGGAATGTACAATTATCAGCTTAATATACATACAAATAGAATTCACTATTCATTCACTTTATCCCCAGAGAAATAGGAGGATATGGAGGTTTCTTACATCTCTCTTGAAAATACCACCTTTTCTGAGTGAGAACTTGATATTTGAACAGGCAGTTTACTACTGCTTTATGAGATGCCAATAGCCCCATATCTGTGGGGGAAAATGATTACACTTGTATTGCTCACAGGAATGGTACAACAGTCATATTGTACAGATTGGTACAACAGTCATGATGTCTTTAATGAACCTTGTAGATGCAGGATAAACATCTTTGCTAGCAAAATAAACATCTCAGCTGCAGTTCAGAGTTTATTCTCTCTAAATGCCTAGGCTTGCTATGTTCTTTGTCTATCAGGAAGGGAAACAATATCCTGTAATATCTTTCTATCCTCACTGACATTATGTCTTAATTACACCAAATCAGAGAAATTCCAGACAGTCAGATTGCTGCCAGATGGCCAGCTCTTATTTACTGATAAACCTTTCACAATAGCCAGTGTGGAGACAAACCCTTTTTAATAATAAATTAAGATTAGAAAGCATATATTTGTTTATGATTATGGACTAAGTTTCTCAGTGGAGAAGTGCAAAGTCAGCCCAAGTGACCCCATGCGAACTACAGTTTTAAAAATTATACAGTTAAGCTTTCTTAACAAATTAAAGGACTGTTCTCAGCACAAGCTGTGTGTCTTTGGATGCTCATAGATTGGATATTTCATTTCATTGTTAAACAGAGCAGAGGACAATGAAAATGGGCTTTACTTATAATTTGGTCTTTGAGCAGGTGCTGCCCACCCAAAATCACACTGACCATTCAGTACCTGTTTCTAAATTCCATGCAAGTATTAGACAGGTTCAA